TCAGATTTCATTGGCGAGGTTTAAAGAATCATGTTTGAATTGTCATTGTGAGATAAGTCAGACTGTCGACTTTGTTATTGCCCGCCGTAGTCTTGGTTTGACCTATCAGGAATCCCTATCACCTAAGTTGTTTGAAACCCAGATGTAAAAATAGAAAAAGCTTGTCAGCAATGCACTAATGTAGACAATGAATTAACCTTGAAAAAGCGTGGTTTTAAATACAAACGAAATATGGAATCGTTCAATAAGGAAAAAACGTCCATACTTAAATTTATAAAATGACATAATTTTGCCAAAAAATACAACCAGAATCTTTATTTTCAAAATTTTCCAAGGGAGGTCCCTCCTACCCCAGCTGCAGAATGGGGAAGCCCCTTCCCACACTTACTCCCCTTGTCACTTCGCAACTCGGCCAGCAGCCTTTGGCTGCTGGACAACCAATTCATGAACAGGGCAAGTAGATTTCAAAAATTGCTATCCCTGCGGGCTACTATGGTTTTACTGTCAATTCCTGTAGCTCTATCCATTTTATTGAATATTCTTTGGAACGGGGCTTGACCTGCTTGGTATGTTGATGCGAGCTTTGTTTTCAAAGATATCTTAGTTACTTGCAAGATGCAGTAAAGGTGAAGTCTTCAAAGTATGTTCATGATGAAGTACCATATAGAGGCCAGATAAATAAATTTTTTGTAACTAAAATTGTCAAAGTTAAGACAGATATATGCTATGTTTCTGAATAGCCTGTTTGATTTATGACAAATTAATGTTTAGATTCAAAGAAATTGAGCAACTTTAAATGTACACATATGATAAAATAGAAATGCTCATGAGAATTCATTTCTGTAATCTTCAATATACAAAACATAGAGTATTAAAGTTCTGTATTCTAAAAAGGATAGAAAGAAACTTTACATTGTAAACTGGTTAATGATATACAGCTTTCTCTGTTATCTTTTGTTTAATTGTAAACTTCCATATTTCTTTTAAACATCAAAATGTTTTAGCTTTGTAAGTAAAGTTTGATTTTACGGTAATACAACTTTCCTTTTAGTCTAAACTACACATTCGGAAGTATCCAATAAACATTTGTTTTTGAAAACTGGAATTCGTTTTTGTTCCAGTCCAAAAATGTGTATCATTTGAAGGTTTTCTTCAAAATGATCATCTCATTATTTTAACATGCTTAATATCATTAATCATTAATTAAGTAACATGAATTCATTATAAGCAGTTTTGTCTGAGCCTCCTTCATGCAGTCTCGAGTATTTTAGGTACATACATGTATTTGAATTCTGGATTTTATTTTACTTGACCCACTTTGCTGTTTTGGGGGATATAAAAAACTTGGACCTAGTGAGAGGCAGTCACATGGAAGGGGGACCATAATGTTAGTATATCAGTCACAGAGAGAGTGACAGTCAATCATCTGGAAGGGGGTGCCCTTAGCACAGATGGAGTCACAAACATGACAGGGTTGGTGACCTATGTAACACAGGATACCCCGTCACTTTCCCCCAGCATTGTTTTCTCTCTATAAAACTATCTTAGATCACTTTCACGACTGTAAGCCTACCCAGTGTGTAGACAATCAGGGTGTCTTCTATTTCCTCACTTTCCAGCAGGTGGGTTAGAAAGTAGAGGATTGAATTTCCTGTGTTATAAAATTTGTTGAATGCCTTTTTGCTAATGGAGAAGTTTATTTTATCAAATAAAAATATCTAGTCTTTATAGCGCTGAAAGGTGAAAATTTCAGTAAATTTATGGGTATATTTTGTAGATTACCCCAAATATATGATATTTATGCTGTGTGGTCCTGGGTTAATTGAATAATTGTCATCATACCTGCAACTGATATTTGTGCATTAAAACTTTTGTTAAGTGTTAGTGTCATGGAACTTTATGATTTTATTTATGGGGTGTTTATGAATAGATAATATTTGGTAACTCAAAGCCCAGGGAAATAGCTCTTATTTTCAAGTATACAGATGGGAAAGGACTCTATTGTGTGAGTCATTTACAGCCTTATTTCGTATTTTAACAAGTAATAAAACTTTCTTTATATCCCTTAAACATAATGCTTACAAAATTTTAATGTCCTAGACTTTTAATTATTTCCGTACTTGATAGTGGTCATGAATACCTATGCAATAAAAGGGTTCTGTGAATTAAGATTCTTATACATGTTCAAATTTTTGCAAAATGATTTTTGAGATTTCCATCGAAATTCCAAACAGTCCACAAGAATGAAATGGTATAATGAATGTAAATGAAATCCCCCATCATAAATCGTTACAATTTACATTTGGTGACACTTTTGACACTGAGCAGTGATATATCATATTGTATTTTGGCTGTCACTAAGTTTGTCCACCAACAGTCTTGGGATTCCATCAATGTCACAAACTTGGTGCTACTGTTCTGCACTTTTAAATGCTTAAAATGTTGTCATGTACGTGGTTTATAAATAGAAGAATTAAAATTTATATTGAATAACATTCCTAATATTCCTCAGAATTCTTTTAAGGTTACTTGGTGTTTGAGATTTTTTTGGATTTTAAGATGTGCAAGTATACATAACTTAATTAGTTTGGTGTAAAGTTTTACAAGAGGGTGTGTCTCTTGGTCCTATAGTGTAAGGCACTGCTAAACATATTGACTGTAACTCACTTCAAAACATATCATTTTCATTTTCCTGCTTGGGAATATAGTCAGGATGAATATAACATCCTTCTTTGGTCTGTGTAGTTCATGGCTTGGAGGTGTTAAATGTAGAAAATCTCGCTTTATCAGTTCAAAATCACCTCGAATTTACCAGAGCTTCTAATTGTTAGAATCATTTACAAATTTGTGCATTGTCTAGGCCCATTTGGTATGCCTTTCCAGATCAGGGGTTTAGGGATGAGATTAATTTTAGGATGGGGAGGAGTGACGGTAGGCCCATTGACAGAGGGGGTATGATAGTTCTCATGATGTACAATTCAGTTTTTTCATGGATGGCTAATGGTGACTTTTGTTAGATCTGTTAGATTACAAGTGGTATCATTTCAGAACTCTTAAGGTTTGATATTGAACCACCTAGTTTTGGGGATTAACTTCATTTAGAAATGTGTGAAATATTTAAATATTTTCCTGTTAATGAAAGATCTGAATTGGTTGTTTACATAAAACTAATAAAACTATCTTTACTTCATAATACTTCATCTAAAGTCAAGATTTTAGGTTCAAAGTTTGTTGACCAAGGGGGAGAAAGCAAGCCTAGCAATTGGTCAAGTTACAGACATTACAAAATTCTTTTTTTCATTATTTTTTTTAATTAAATTAAATTAAGTAGCAAAATTAGAGAAAGCTAAGGACAAAAAAAAAATAAAGTTGAGTTCGATCTCTATCAAAATTATACAATAACTTGATATATATTCATATGGTAAATCCCAAGTCTCAATTACAATAAAAATAATCAGTGCAGTAGAAGAATAGACTGGATTATGTTTCTGTGTTGTTTGAAGACCCAGAAATGATTGATATTGCAGGGGTCATAAGTTAGCCTTGATGGGTGAAGCCTTTCAAGCAAAATTATGCAACAAAGCATGATATCTATCAAATACTGTAGATATTGTCAGCTTCTGGTCAGAATAAGTAGTTTCCTGGCAACTGGTGAAAACCTAAAACCTTCCTGATTCATAACGAGTTAGTGACTTCAAAGCAATCTCCATGAATTATTATGGTTGATCTATTGCAAGGATATGATTCATTTGATAGCGAGATGAAGAAGTTAATTAATGAGAGGAGTAAATCATATTACGATTGAAAATGTTTTTAGGGTTAAAGGTTTATTATTAATTAAGCTTTAATTGCATAAAGAAATGTGTTTTGCAAGCAAAATTTAGTATGATTTTTGTGTCCTATTGGCATATAACCATTAATTTTATGTGTTAGCTGAATAAATTATTACTCACATTAGAAAAAAATAATAAGGCTTTTTTTAAAATAATGTTTGCATGCCCTCTCCAGACTCAGTGTAAAAAAATGTGGTAGGTTTAGGTAAGGGAAATTTTTGTCCCCCACTTTCACCAAAAGTGTTGGATATTAATTTAGGTCTGTCCGCCTGTCTCTCTGTTTCTTCCTCCATCTGTCTGTCATTCTGTAACACTCATTTTGAAGATATCTCAAGAAAACTTTGAGCTTTTGCAATGAAATCACAACTTCCCATGGCCTTACAAAGGCCCCTTTTGATTTTGAGGTGCAAAAGTCCAAGGTCAAAAATTCCTACATTCTGTCTATAAAACTTGTTTCTGGGTGATATCTTAAAATGCCTTTGTGCTTTGGCAATTAAATTTTATATCACAGCTTCCTATGGCATTACAAAGACTGCTATTGATTTTGAGGTGAAAAGGTCTAAGGTCAAGATTAGAAATTCATACTTGGCAAAAAATGGTTTGAAGATGATAACTTTAGTTTTCTTTGAGTTTTTTCAATGAAATTCAGTACATTGTATCATAATTTCCTATGGCCTAAAAAAGACCACTATTTGATTTGAGGTTAAAAGAGCAAGGACAGAAATTCATAATTTTGTCTGTGTTTAATATTAATTTCTGGACAATATCTTAAAAAGCATTTGAGGATATAGCAATGAAATTTTGCATCACTACCCCTAAAGCCTAAAGAAGACCTCTTTTGATTTTGAGGTCAAAGGGTCAAAGTCAGAAATTCATACAATGCAAAAAATAGTTTTCAGGTGATGTCTTTAGTTTTTCACTGAGCTTTTTCAATGAAATTTTGTATCAATGACTTAAAGACCTTTTTCATTTTTAGGTCAAAAGGTCAAGGACAAAATTCATACTTTGCATAAAATGGTTACCTGGTGATAACTTTGACTAAAAATACATAGATCTTACCTGCTTCAAGATGAAAAAATATGTTTGTTTGCTGCATTTCCTTTAATTTTCTGTATGGTTTTGACTGACAAGGAAATACTGAATTTCAGATGTGATTGTTATTTTCAGGACAGTGCAGTCAGACATTGTGTCTAAATGGAGGTCGCTGTGTGAATGGGAACACTCAGAGGTGTACATGTCCTGCGGGATTTCAGGGGTCAAGATGTCAATACGGTACGAAAGGGGACACATCAAAAATTTAAACATAAAATTTTCGTAATATATATATGAGCCATTTCATAATAAAGAGTGGTCATTCACAAGCAGCTAGTGCATGCAATAAATACTGAGGATTGGTGATGAATTTACAAATTGTCAAATATATCAATTACATACTTTTAATAACAATTTTTTTATTTTTTTAGCGACCAATTTTGGAATTAAATTATTAAAAAATTGTTTGAAATTTCACGGGCTGAGGTCTCATTGTAAAAATTTATTTTTAAGAGGAAATGAAAATATCCATTAAAATTGTACCCCATGAAATATTGAATGACAACCTAATCTTTGCAGTGATCAATTTTACAGAGTTACTTTTGCTGCTTTATAGTTTAATTTCAAGTTGCATGCACATATTTTTGAAGTGACCTGCAGATGGTTAATTTTTATGTGTGAAGAAAATACTTTCAAATGATGACGCCAAAATTTTAATTTTGTTTAGTCAAATTCAATAATTTCATTGATGAAAAACTGGAATATTAGTGGATTCATTTTCATCCCGATAATGTAGGTATCTGCTTCAAGAGCCTTTCAAAAAATAGACATTGTTTGCTCTTAAGTGACATTTAGGTCATAGATGTTGAGCATCAGGTTGGCAACATTTTGCTGACATCATTCTAGACAGCAGGTGCCCTTCAGTTTGATGTCTGTCTAAGATCCTGTTAGGCTGCCATCCAACACAATAGTTATTCATATCATCATAGTTTTTGTTTTGCCGTATCGTAATATGTAAATCATCTTGAGAAGTAAACAGTTTGAGGTTTCTGTTTATTTTTGTAGAATTTAATGCTCTGCATTGTATTTTCTTTAGAGGTGCATTTGGAATACATTTTAACATAGTCATGCAATGAATTTACAATGCTCTTCAAATAGCTTCTTTATTTATTTTTTTTTTTTCAAGTCGGTATTAATGTGACGGGAATGACAATTATTTGTATGGATGGTCTATAAGAACATTAGGGCTTATGATTGCCTGCAGTAATTAACATATTAAGAAAGCTTAAATGTCTTGAATTCCTTTATGTTCAATGCTTTGTGGCAAATGACTGTCTAGAAGAGAAGAGATGCTGATTGAAATGTTCTATAGATAAACAGAAACTGATCAGAAAAGAGGATTATGAATTTGACCATCTTTTGTTAAAATTAAACAAAAGGGAAAATTTGTGTTATGTTCGTGTTATGTCTCAAATTCAGCTTGATAAATATCTCTGAAGATAAGATCTCTGAGAATGTTCATTCATTTAAACAGACAATGATTTAACACAATAGACAGTTAAATGATCTTGACACATATGTACAAGGGAATCCTTGCATTTCCTATTCTGTCAACCATTACAGTGTTAAACATGGGTTCAGATAGTTTAACCAAATCTTGTTTTTTCTGAGATAAGTTGGAAGTTTGTGGACATACTATTATCTCCTAGCTCATTTGACAATTTTCTGTACCCCCCCCCCCCCCCCCCCCCCAAAGATAGAAATATAAAAAGTAAGAAAATTGGTTTAGTGCATGTTTTACTCGCACCAATATTTGCAAGCACCTTTTCTTACATATGCTAATTATACCCCACGCAACAAGTTGTGTGAGGTATAATGTTTTTGACCCATCCGTCAGTCAGTGTGTCAGTCAGTCTTGTTTTTTTTGTCAGTGCAACTCCTCACAAACCGCTGCACAGAGTGTGGTCAAACTTAATTGCAGATATTTAGGACACAATGTGTAGATGTGCATATTACCAGGAAATTCCGATTCCTTTATTTTTTCAGGGAATTTCGGCACTTTTCAACTTAGACTTTTGGCCATATCTTGAATATAGAGATGAACAGTTTGTCAGCGCAACTCCTCATAAACCGCTGCACAGAATTTTGTCAAACTTTGCAGATATTTAGCACACTATGTGTAGATGTGCATATTACCAGGAAATTCTGATTCCTTTATTTTTTCTGGGAATTTCAGCACTTTTCAACTTAGATTTTTGGCCATATCTTGAATATAGAGATGAACAGTTTGTCAACGCAACTCCTCTTAAACCGCTGCATAGAATTTGATCAAACTTTGCAGATATTTAGGACACAATGTGTTGATGTGCATATTACCAGGAAATTCCAATTCCATTATTTTTCTGGGAATTTCGGCACTTTTCAACTTAGATTTTTGGCCATATTTTGAATATAGAGATGAACAGTTTGTCAACACAACTCCTCTTAAACCGCTGCACAGAATTTGGTCAAACTTTGCAGATATTTAGTACACAGTGTGTAGATGTGCATATTACCAGGAAATTCTAATTCCATTATTTTTGCCTGAAGAGTTTTGCCTATTATTGAAGAAACTTTCTAGCTAGGTAATAAGGAAATCCACTTGAATCAGCTTTTGTAATGAAATTTTATGTGAAATATTTTATGACCTTAAAAGAGCCCTATTGATTTTGAGATCAAAATATTAATGATTTAACACACACACAAAATCTTGGACAGTTCTCACCCCCCCCCCCCCCCACCCCCCCCACCCCTCTTAAATTGGTGCTTTGCCTTAAATAATTTCATAAGTACAGTATATAAACAAATTCATTTCATATGACTACATCATAATTTTGTTTCCATCAATTATTTAAATGTGTAAATTGTCGTGTGTTGGACATGGACTTACATTCGTTAAGAAATTGAAATCACTGAGGAATTTAAATAACAGTTTGTCAGCATAACTCCTGCATTGAATTTCCTGAAACTTTGTAGGTATTTCAGACTAATGCCCTGTTCACACGGAGAGTTTAATTCGAATTAAATGTAAGTTACTGCGAATTAAATTTGATCCGCGTTCACACGGAGAATTTAATGCAAATTAATTTAATTTGAATTAGTTTACTGCACATTAAATTACTTCGCATTAGCTCCGTGTGAACGCTAAGCGAAGCTAATTCGAATTAAATTTTGACGCATGCGTAAGGGCAGAATTAAGTCACAGGCCACATGTCTATGGTCAAATATAGGTACCTGTGCTATTTTTGAGTGGAAAACAAAGGAAAATTATGTTAATCACTAAAATGTGTACAGACACTATGACATTATGTCAGATGTATACTGCTCTGCGCAATATGATGTGATTTGTAAATGACGTCATAATAGCTTCACTGAATAGCCTTGTTGAATAAATAAAGCTATAATTCACATTAGTTTACTTTGCATTAGCTGTTGTGTGAACGCAATTTAATTCGCATTAGTTTAATTCGCATCATTTTACTTTACATAAATTTACTGCGAATTAAACTCTCCGTGTGAACAGGGCAATAATGTAAAGATTTGTATATTACCAAGAAATTTTGATTCCATTATTTATCTAGAAACTTTAGCCTAATTAAATTTGTAACATACAAAGATTTGAATGTCAGCTTATATGCAAGTAGTTTTGATGTGATGATTTTTTGCAAGTACAATGGTAATGCCCCTTTTTGAATTATACTGTGTATTTAAAGTGGACTGTGCCATTCATTATGTGTTGCATTGTCAAGTTATGGGGGAGCGTGGGGTATGTGAGCTTGCTCACTTTTTCTTTCATTTTGACTGATCTTTAAGACTTCATGTCATGATCTGTTCATCATTATTACATGAACTAGAACTCTGTTAAAATGATAGTGGAAAACGAAAGTAAAAAAAAAAAACACATTGCCTGAATTGTGGTTCCATCAATATTTCCATGCATGAATAGATAAAGGTCACCTCAGGTCAAGCCATCTGTATTATGTCAAGCTGTCACCATAGTTACTGGTTCAAAGGGACACTTAAGTTATACATCAATAACCTGGTCAATATGCATATGATCTTTCTTTGAGGTTTTCTGATTTACTGCACACACTGACATTTATTTTTGTTTTCACACTTATTGTTCTAATCCTACAGTCATGACAGTATTTGACCAGTAATAAGGGGTCATCAAAAGATCACCACCGAAATTTCCAGGTTTTGGGGTTGTTTAATTTTTCTTTTCTTTTTTTTTTTTTGACAAATTTATATTGTATTAAAAGAAGTAAATTTGATATCTCTCTGATAAGATTAAAATTTATTCTGTTTACTTGATGTTTTTCATGAAATGCATGTATGCATGCTTATAAGTAAAAATATACTCAGTCTGCTACATCAATTTATTGACTAAACAACATTTTACACCATTGAAACAATATTTATTTTAAAAGTGGGTATCTAAATACATTTTTTAGCGCAATAAAAAGCTATTTAAAAAAGAGGTCTTATTAAGGTTTTTATTGTGGCCAGTGTTATAGGTTGTATCATTGGATTTTGGGATTTCAATTCCACTGGGAATTCTTGTACTGTAGATGGAGTATTGATACCTTTTATGGAATTCCTTCAATTTATTTTGTTAGGTAATTGCACAGAAACTGTGTTGGAGCTATTTATCACTGACAAGGTTATTGATTGGGGGATGAGGTTGTCGGTTGATGGTTTTTAAGACTGTAGGAGGCCAGCTTTATCTGTATAGACACTGGTCTGTGGCAGAAACCATTTCCACCCGAGTTAAGAGAGATAAATACAGCACTAGATCATATTCCTATACTTGCTGAATACACTGGTCATTTAAAGTATAATTGATAAAGATCAGCCACCCCTGTATTAGTCTGATACCAATTTATTATATTATGCCAAATTAGAGCGGATTTATTTGAATGTCAGAAATGTTATACATACTATATAAAAAAGGACATATTTTTGTTACAGTATTTATGAAGAAAAGGGTCAAGTGTTTTGACAGGTTCCAACCCGTTGTGGTAATTTTTTTTTAAAATTCATTGTGAAGGTGATGGATAAAAGTAGCAGGCAGTTTATTGCACTGTAACGCAGTCCTTACTCCACCCTCCATAGTTAATGTGTTCAGACCCTCTCAGGTGACAACCTCCAGGTGACCCATCCATCAGGTAGTGCCAAAATACAAACAAACTGTCCAGGTG